TCAAGGTGAAGAAAATACGGCCAGAAAAGTCATCTTTTATTGTCAGTTTTATAGAATTTTGTGTGTCAAATTTATGGAATTAATGAATGAATAAAAATAACATAACTAATCATTTTTTTGTTTGGCAAAGTTTTGTTTAGTAACATGGTGATTTTTAACTGGGAGAAATTTAATCCAAGTATACAATGTCAACATTTATACTAGATTTTAATTTGTTTTAGTAAATTCTTGATAACTTGGAATGTTTTCAGGAGAAACACTAATGTATGAATGAGTTCTCATTATCACAATTATTGTGCTATAAATACACTTGAGTTCTTATTTTATTTTTCCTTCCATTTAATTGAGAGTGTTATTTCACTACAAATACACATTCTACTTACTACAGTTTTCATAATCCAAATTCAATTTATTTTTAGATGTTATAACATATAAGCTAATTCATTTTCCAGAATTTTCCTTTCATGACATCATTACAAGTGAGAAAAGAAGATGTAAGAACTTGTATCTCTGCTGGAATTTCTGACCTTTACATACTGTTATCAGAAAAAAGAGGATTTGAAGGGCACCCAAAGATACAGATAACATTTCATTCATTGAATTTAAAGTCATTTGAAATAAAGAAATTTAAAACAAAAAGAAAAACTGCCAGTGTTAATCCATCAGTGATCAGTATACTGTTTTTTATAAATCCTTTTTATTTCTAAGTTTAAAATAATTGATAAAATATTTCCTTATAGGAAGAAGATCCCTCATTCTATAGAGTAATCCTCTATATCATGCCAGAATAAGATAGTATAAACAGGGTCAAATTTGTACTTAAAAATTTATATAACAGTGAAAAGGAAATGTAAATCAGCATTATATGTTGAAAATTATACTCCAAAAAAGTAAAAATAAAAACAAATAAAATTGTACAATCTTTTAAAATTATGTGTCCAATAGTTAGTATAGCATTACATAATTTTTTTTAAATTGTGTTAATTACCTGACATTATCTAGTTCCTAATCCCCAAGGAGATATAGCACAGCTCCTTAAATGGTGATTTTCTTTCCTGGCTATAATTTCAATTAAATACAGAAAAAAATGATCTACGCTAAAATTATTATAATTTTGTCTACCTACAAGCACGAAGTATAATCAGTGTAGAGTCCAAACTTTAAATATGTAAAGAAGATAAGATGTACTCTAAGCATGTACTCTAAGCAGTCATTTGTGTGTATTTAACTAATTACTTTAAAAATTCAAATAAATCCCAAAGGAAAAAAAATTCTTTGCTCAATAAGTCCTAACTTATTCTGTTGTGCTTCAAAATCTCAATCCTAATGTATTTATTAATTGAGAAAAAAAGGTATACTTTCACGTCAACTATGGCCAAAGATAAATGCATATTCTCACATATTACATACCAGCTTTCATATGAAAGCCTTCTTATTTTAGCTAATTGGTCTCATTTTCATTTTTTAATATTGATTATTTTTTCTGCTTTATAATTTTTAATTTTATGCATCCATGTTTGCAGTACATAATGATTACATTCATGGTGGAGAGTTGGTGCCTATATGAAAACATCTTCATTCTTTTTATGTCCTATTCTCTTACTTTCCCCTCCCTCCATCTCTGGATCACCTTCCCTTTTGCCAAACGTCTGTCTCCCTGTTGCCTATTATCTCTCTTTTGTTTTGCTCTTTAGTTTACTAATGCTTCGATTTTCCACTAGAAGGGAATTCACGTGATATTTAAACTGTGTGTTTGATTTTTTTCACTTAACGTAAGACCTGGGGTCAGTGCCCTCTTCCTGCAATCCTAGCTACAGGAGGCTGAGGCAGGAGGATCAAAAGTTCAACCCCAGTCTGGGTAAATTAGTGACCTAGTGAGGCCCTGCCTCAAAATAAAAAATTAAAAAAGGGCTGGTGATGTAGCTCAGTGTGCAGGCCCAGAGTTTGATTTTCAGTACTGGGACAAAAATAGATTAAATCCAGAAAAATCTGATAATAGAACAAAAAACTACATTCCCCAACCCATACCTCATAGGTGGCTAAGTCATGGAGATACCACTACTTTCATTTTTATGTTTTCTTAACATTGTTAAAAATGTATCTTTTATATTTTTGAGAATGTTCATCAGAAGTTTAACAATTTTTCTGAATATAGACCAGCACACACGAAACCTCAAAAACACCAACCAAACAAAATAAAAGCCTGAAGTTTCTCATAAACTTTTTACTCCTATTTTTCTATTTTGAAATCTATAACAGCTTTCCCACTTCTGTCATTTATTTCAACCGAAAACAACAGAATGTATTTCTCCAGTTAAATGTAAATCCAACCCAAGGTCAATTTTGGTTTTGGTAGGAACCATCCATGACCAATCAAGAAAAACTTAGTGGCTGAGTTATTACAATAAACACTTCTTAGAAATTCCCTCCCCACAGTGGAAAATTATAATTGCCCACATGCTGTTATTTCTGATGCTGTTTTTAGTTGTTTGCTTAGGAACATGGGTGAATATAACACAGCAAATTCACATGAAAATTAAAATCAAGTCCCTAAACCTACTTCCCCTAATCTTCTCTAATATGGGTTCTGTTGTTCTTCTGAAAACACGGAGCACATTAAAAAATAACTGATTTGAAGACAGAGTGAATATTTTTAGGGTAAATTTGCAATTATGTCAACTGTAATTTTCTTTTTATGGGTATAATTTCTACTTTCCAACAAAGTCTTACTGGGGTTTACTATTTTGTATTATTTTATAAAAAGAACAGGAAAATCAGTCTCTGGGACCATTACAGGTAGGAGAGAACACTGTAACATTCAATGGTTTAGATTTTGAAAATAGATGGGTTATTTTATTTTATTTTATTTTTTGAGGTAGAGTCTTGTTGCATAGTCTAGACTGCCCATGAAATTAGGATGTAGCCTAGGCTGGCCTTTAACTTAAAGTGATACACCTGGCTCAGGCTCCCATAGAGCTAGAATTACAGGAATGCACCACCACACCTGGCTTGTGTAGTTTCTTAAATGTTAATGTCCTCTTGATTCTCATACAGTCAAATTCTGAACATTACAATACTGTGTATAGATTGTCTGATTTTTGTGTTATATATGTATATTATGTAGATAAGCTGCAACAAGCTTGATGGATAGATTATTCAGCTGTTTACTATATTAATTAATGAGTCTATTTGATCAATCCACCTATCTATCGACCTAAGATAGATATACCTCCCTACCTGTCTACCTACCAGGGATACATACACTAGAATCTGTAAGTCATTACTAGTAAAAAACATAAAAATGGAGATCTATTTAGTTCTATTTGTGTTTGCTCATTTTTTTGTATTACCAGTACCTAGTACAATAACTATCATATATTGAATTATTAAGTGAATATTACTTATATGTTTGCACTTTAGCAATTCAAGTCATTACTTGAATGCATAAAATATTGAAATAAGTTGTGCAAATGCTGATTTTTGCATTTATGAATATAGATCAATAAGAGTTTAAATGAAAAATTTAATAGCTTCCTTGTCTTGAACTTAATTGACCACGTGTGTTAGAGTAAATCCACATCCTGGTCACTCAAAATAATATTTCGTCTTATTAATCTAAATAATTGGATTTAACTGTTAGTAAATGTGCCACAGACAAAGAGTTATTATTTCCTATGATCTCATACTACTCCATTCTTTTCTGATTAAATTTTAGGTTTTTATTTTTAGATAATTATTGATTCAGACACGGTTGTAGTAAACAATAGAGCTGGATCCTATATACTCTTCACTGAGTTTTCCCAATAATAATATCCTGTGTATCTGTAGTACAATATCATAAGAAACTTGAAATTGATGTAACTAGCAAATCTTATTCAGAGTTCATCAATTTTACATGTCCACATGTGCTCTTGTGTGGGTATTTGGTTCTATGTAGATTTCTGTGACTGTCACCAAAATAAAGATTCAGAAAAGTTTCACTCCAAAAAACCCTGTACTTTTCCTTTATTGCCAATCACTTCCTTCCATCTGCCCATTCATGCAACCTCTGGCAACTCTAATTCTTTCTCCACATTTATAATTTTGTAACATCAAAGATGTTTCCTAAAAGAGTCAACAACAAATACTTTTTGATATGTTATTTTTTCACTTATTACAATTCCCCTGACATCCACCTACAGTGTGTGTAAGTAACCATTCCTCTTTCTCGTTAAGTAACAATAACCATTTCATCTGAAATGAATGCCCAACAGTGTAGTTTTTGGATTTTATATTAAGTGCATGTTTAGTATTCCCGGAAACTGCCAAAATCCTTTCCTGAGTGGTCATAACATTTTATATTCCTCTGCAATGTATGAATGATGCAATTTTTTCCGAAAAGTGGCCAATATTTAGTGTTGTCATTTATACACATCTATCAACTTTTAAAGAATATTGTAGCAAATTTGATATATATGTAGTAATATCTCTTTGTGATTTTAATTTTCATTTTATTAACAGTTAATGATGTTGAATATCCTTCATGTGCCATCTGATACCATTTTTTTGGAATGTCTTTTGTCCATATTGTAAATGGTTTGATTATTGGTTTGATTATTGGTTTCCTTTTTCCTATTTTTCTTAATCTTGATTTTTGAGTTTTTTAAATGTACTATAAATACAAGTCTTTCGTGGGATATGTTGCATACAAATATTTCCTCCCTCTATACAACTTTCTATACAGCCTCTTCACGGTGTCTTGCATAGAACCAGTAATGACTTTGAGCAAATTAATAGTGACGAAAATCTATTCCATTTCTTGAAACATTAGCACACCAATTATTTAACACGTAAAAAAAATGTTTATTTTGCAGGCATTTAAAATTTAACCCAAGCATTTTTAAAGTCAGTTTCCTAAAAGCACACGGCTATGTGGAAATTTCTAAATGTTATGTTCTAGAGTTTGGATCTTTGAAATTGATTTTCATAGTAAGTGAAATTTTGGTTGTGTCATCCAATAGGTTCAGTTGCCACTGCGTGTCGTGACCCAGGGGTTCCCATGAACGGGACTCGAAACGGTGATGGAAGAGAACCTGGTGACACTGTTGTTTTTCAATGTGACCCTGGATATGAACTTCAGGGACAAGAAAGAATAACCTGCATTCAGGTAGAAAATCGATACTTCTGGCAGCCCAGCCCACCAGTCTGTATAGGTATGATTAAAGAATATTAAAGTTTATTTATATAACAAATGGTTAAAAACTTGTATTGATATTATTCAGAACTCTGTTCTGGAATACATTCTGTGTGGGAGTCTAAGATCTGAGAGCATTGAAGACCTCCCAGAAATGTACAAAATTACAAATAGTCACAAATTTATCTATGGAATAAGGGTCCGTAATTTCATTAGATTCTTAATGTTTCTAAGATCAGAAAGGAGTTATGAAGCAAAGCTAGTGAAAAATATTAATCACTCCTTACTGCAAAAATGTACTTTTTCATAGCTTTAAAAATTTAGAGTGGATTCAAACTGTACGTTTAAAATGACTCATTTTTTCCCATTAAGTTTATTGGTACATTTTAGGTATACAATACAGTTACATTCATCATTGGAATCTTGTATGTTTACATGATGAATCTTGATTCTGATTTTTTTCCCAATTAAAATGACTCATTTTGGGCCGGGGATTTAGCTTAGTTCTTGCACAGCCTACCTCGCAAGCGGAAGAACTGGAGTTCGATCCCTGGTACCAAAAACAAACAAACAAACAAATAAAATGACTCATTTTGATCTTACCTCTATAACGGTTATTTCTTCTAAGGGAGAAAATTTATTTAGTGTTATCAATTTTTCTAGAAACTGTGGTAGAGTTTCAAAACTTTAGTTTTCTATTTAATTCATGCATAGTAAAAGAATATCAAAATTAAGATACAAATTATTTCCTCATCAGCTCTGAGAAAGAGAGGAATATACCACTTTGGGGATAAAAGCAGTGAGAAAATCTACTATATAATTAAATTAGCTTAGTCATAAACCTTTGTGTTTAGGTGTTTTAGTGTTGGTTTCAACTTAAAGTCAGAATATATTTTGACCAAATTATGTTTTCTCTACTGAAAATTTTGTTTATTTACATATTCTCCCTTTTACTATACTGCAAGCAATTTCAGAGAAGGTTCTGTATTTCATAATATTTCTTACAGCATTCAACTAATTCACACTTACCACAACTGTCCTCATAAAAGCAAGGAGAATTAGAAACTTTTACAAAGAAAAAGAGGCTAGAAGGAAATTCATGCTTGTTTCAAAATTTTCATGTTTATCTACAATTCAGTTAACCTAAAAAACTCCATTTAAACTCTACTTTCTAATTAATTGAAATTTGACTGCATTTCTCATAAGGAGAATCTTTCTGTAAAGAGGAAATGATAAACTATCACAGAACTGCTACAGACATTACTGCTTTATTGTGATTCTTAGACCTGAATGTTGCTTAAACAGCTTTGTACCGAAATTATAGAAACCACTAAAATCCAAAGTGCAAAAGTTGGAAGAGTCCTGAGATCGGCAGTTATAAAATTCCATTTATAGACAACAATACGCTTTAGCTAGCAAGGCCTAATTCTATGGGGGGAAAAAAAGCTGAGCACTAAATCTTACTTAAGTGGAGCAGGTTGTGGAAAGTTTCTGTATGGATTATGCTGCTGTGTATTATTTTTTTGGTAGGAAAAGATAGCTTGAGGAAAAGATATACATTAGAGCTTCTCTGGCGAGGAAAATAACCTTTAAAAAAGTGTGAAAAATTGCTAAGCCTGCAAAAAGCTTGACCTCTGAAACTGATAAGAAAGAACTCCATGATTGGAAATACTATGCCAAAGATTAAACCCTGAACGTTTTAGAAACTCTGTAAGTCTGTGTCTCAGACCCTAGAGCATAAAGCATTTTACTTGCATGTACAAGTAGTCTGATAAGAGAGTCCCACACAGAAGCGCGTCATCTTTAGAGAGCTAATAGGATTCATTCCAGCTAAATTGGCAGTGCGAAGATTACTCTGACATTGCCGGAGGGAAAGCAGCAGCACTCGATATGAAGGTAAATAACACAGGCATTAGTGTGTGCGGGTGACTGAGAAATACAGGACACAAATGAAATTGAATTGGGGAAAAAATTAAGAAGATTGTAAAACATTTATCAATAGTTGCTGTCCCTATAACTGCCTCACAAGTAACTATACTCACAACAAATCATTCATGTTAAAATTCCATGAAAACTAACTGAACATTTAATTCATAGACTTCTTTGACCTTTATTTTCAATGCTTGATGATTAGATGCATAAAAGTAAAAATACATCTCTAAACGCTAAAGTTGAGTATATTTATTCACTGGTTGTTTAGGATTTACACATGTAAAATAACACTTCTAGCTGTTATTGGATTTTGTAGATATATTTGGAAAATCTTCCTAAATAATTTAAATAATAAAGTAAAAAGAATTTTAAGGAATCTTATGCCCAAATAAAAGTATAGTCTTGTACAGTATCTAATAAGACACAAAATACATATGATGAATTTTCCAATATTTTAAGTGATAAAGGATAAAGACATATTTGTATATGTATATGAATATCTATATAAATTTCTAACAATAAAAAGACAAATGTTGCTACTAGAAAATAAGAAATGAAACAAAATTCTTCCCCCATTATCTCCCAAATTACACATAATTCTATCAGTTTAGCACCTGAAAAAAATCATGTGAAATATTTTGCCATCATTCTACTCTTTTAAGTGTAATATGTACATACATATAAGTGTCATTATTCATATTTGCATGCATTTTCCTATTCCCATATGATTTTTCAAACACCAAAAGCAAACTAAATTGTAATTTGTGTGAACATGTAGCTTCAAATTAAATTGCATGTTTATCCATCTTCACTCTTTTATAATCAATATAGAGAACTAGCAATCTACATTTCTTTGGGTACCACAACATAAATGTATTCATTTATTCATTATACATTAATTAAGTTACATTAATTATACATTCATCCAAACACAGTAATATCATCTTCTTCTAAAACATCATCATAACTCTCCAAACCCCGAATTCCAGCCTAAATTTCTTGCAACTCCATCTCCTGTAAACTGTTGGCTCCAATCTCATGTCCAGTATTACAGATCTATTGAAACTAGCATTTCTTGTCCATATAGCCTGCTCATAGTGCATTGGCAACACAGCTATCAGTGAGTTTATCCCATGAATTCTTCACCCTCTTTCCACAACCTCTTGCACGCTGGGCTTCAAGACAGGAGTAGCAACAAAAGTGATGATAGTTAAGAATAATGATCCACACACAAACAATGAAAACTTGCAGGCATCAAAATTCAGAAAATGTTTATTTCACCTGAGTGCATTACATATGTCCATTATATCTCACAATGCATTGAATTATGAAAATTCACATTAGACACCACCACATCTATTCATTATCAAGCACACATTATTCATGTGTGTCTGTACTCTGATTGTTCATTTGGCAATAAATCTCTAGTTCATCTGTTCACATAGGCAATTACCTCTAGTCCAAAGGTGCTCACTTGGTATTTACAAATATTTAATTATCATTTATATTATATATTTTAAGAATTAATGTCAATAATAGTATTTATTTATATTTAATTATATATTAATATTACTATTTTATACTTCAATACATCCATCGTGTGTTGCAATAGACATACTAAATAAGTCCATCTGGTTGGTGATCTAGACTGAGGCTTATTTTTAGTGTAGGGCTTATATTACAAGTATCATGAAAAATCATGCTAGGGCTTATTTTCTAGTAAGGACTTACTTTGGGAGAAATACTGTATGTAGCATTGGTGAATTCTATTCATGAATAACATGTAAATAAGTCTTTAGCATATATATTAGCAGTGAATGCTGACACTTGAATACAATATTGCATTGAAATAAGGCAAGGGAAATAAAAATAGGCAGAGGTCACTATGGATAGCAGGACAGGTTGAAGAGAAATTAAGCTTAGCCTAAGTTGGGCTTTTCCAGAAAATCTTCCTGAAACTTAAAACATTAGCAAAGTTGTGCACATACAGAAGGGATAAAAAAACAATTGCATGAAAAAAGTCATACAAGTGCTAGGAACTATAAGCCCTTTGAAAGTATTTCAATGTATTGTATTTGTGTAAAGCGACGGTGAGGAGAAGGGAAAGGTAACACCAGTCAGCTCACAAAAGCTGCACTAAAGTTGAGGCATTCATCTTTTAGGCAATCCAGCCTAAAATGTAAGTAAGCACAGAACTTTGTGCACAGGAATAGCATGATTAGGTGTTTTCACTGGACGGCAGATTGTCAGAAAGTAGATTTCATTATAGGAAGACATTGTAATAATCCTACAGAGGAAGAAGAGTCAATTAGGTCATGAAATATGGTAGAAGGCAAGGAAAGGACAAATTGAAAAAAATATCTATGAGGTAGAGTGTTGGCCGGACTTCTTGCCACATTGGTACAAGAATGCAGTGAAGAAAAGGGAAGAATCTTGGATTCCCCAGCTTGGGACACAGGAAGGTGATAATGTTAATCAAACAATATAGGAACATAGGAAGAGAAGCAAATTCAAATTGAGACATGAGCATTCTGGATGATCTGTATATGATGTACCAACAGACAACAGAGCACTTTTGGGCTTATGGATTAGCATTCTTCAGAGATATCTGCAGGACAAGATAGTAAAAGGAGTCATCTGTGTATAAAAGAATGAAAGGTGAAGTCATAAATTTTGAGATGGTCAACAAGGAAAAAGCTAACAGAATAAGTACTGCGAGGACTAAATAAAGAACTCAGGAGAATGCAGAAATTATAAGGTGAAGTGAAAGAAGGGCTTGACAATGAAAATGAGGTATGTGCAAATTCTCTTGAAGAAAACTAGAAGTTAAATTCCAGAAAGTAGGATAGTGAATTTTAGGTAGAGGTTAGCAGGTAAGAATGACTATGCATTCAAAAAGAAAGCAAAAAGCAAATGAAAATGTCTCCATTATATTTGTCTCCTTTATAACAGTTATTTAAGGTGGAACTAACAATTGTTAGCTTTGAAGAAAAGCAGATTGAGGGAGATATCAGTGACTGAGAAGAGAATGCAGGAGGAAGGGACCAAAACCAGAAGTGTGTGAGACAGTGTGTATGTGTGAGAGAGAGTGTGTGTGTGTGTGCGAGTGTGTGCACATGTGTATTCGCTACTCTTCTTGCCACCAGGGATATCCTTATTTCCCTATATTTAAGATGCCACCTCTCTGTATCATAGTATTTTCTAAACATAACTGTATTTAACATAGTGCAAAAATAATTCCTTAAAAAATGTATTTTCTGAATTTCACTGACAACGTTTTAACGTTTCCACTGAAGAATTACAGGAATTTTTGTTTAGGATTGCAATAATAATTAGTAACTGCCTGTTTTCATTGTTAGACAACTAATTTTAGGAATATACTATAATTATATTCAACATAAGAATGTTGTAAAGTACTCCACGTTCTCAGATAACTATCTTTTCTCATTAATTATTATCACAGCTTCTTCCTCCATAAATCCACAAAAGGTACCAGGGAAGGTATGAAAATGAGCCAAACGTTCTGAGATTATTGTTCCATTTATTAGGGGTTTTGTTTTTCTTTATTTTCTTTCTAATTTCGTCCAGTAACCTTCAGACTCCATGGGAAACCATTTTTATCATTCTTCTCAATGTTTTTCTCTCACATGAAAAAAATAGCAATAAAAAGGGAGAAGATTTATATATAAATTTTTTGTTGTTTTTGGAAACTAGAAAAACAGCTAAATTCGGTAGATCCATGTATGTGCTATGTGTTCAGTATGTTAATGATCTTCCTGGGAAGACATTGCAGTATTTCATCATTTGGTGCTAGAGAAGTCAGGTTTGTGCAGTATCTCATGAACCTTCCTAGAGAAATGTTTTCACAAATATATTGATTGCTAACGAATTGTACTGATCTCTTAAGATCTCTTTATTGATCTCTTTAAATTAAAGCACCCTGTGGAGGCAATCTAACGGGATCTTCAGGCTTTATTCTTTCACCAAATTTCCCTCATCCGTACCCGCATAGCAGGGACTGCGATTGGACCATCGCCGTCAACACCGACTACGTCATCTCCCTGGCATTTATCAGGTGCGTTCTTACACATCCCACATTAAAAAAAAAAAAATTCTGGTTATTTGTTTCTGTATTTGTCCTAGGCAAATTTTTATTTCTGTATGTGACATTTTTATTATATTTTAATAATCACAATACTATTACAATTGACAATATGCAAAGCCTTGAATAGTAATGTAACCATTCTGAAGGGCAATAGGTGAGGATCTCCATCCCTTTTCTGTGCCAGAGAAGCATGTTAAGTTCAGGTGGGCTTTTGGCTTTCTCATAGTTTGATCTCTATAACCTCCCCCCGCCCCGCCTCCATGCTTACTATCGCTGTTTCCAAAATTTCAATTTTTCCTAAACCTGAAGATTAAAAGGTCAGCACATCAATACTTTTTCCTCCTGTATTTTCACCACTCAGAAGGCTTTTGGAGCATTTAGAAACTCATGTGTAGCTCCCCCTCTGGGCTCAGAAGACATACTCCTAGTCACTTTCCTTTCTGGCAGTCTCATTAATTCAAGCTGATGGTGTACAAGTTAATCGGTCATTTTTGTATGATTTATGAGCAGAACTGGTCCCACAATAGAACTTTACATGAGAGTGTTCCAAAGTTTACATTTGTTGTTTAGCAGGGTAAAGCTTAGGACTGCAGTAATAATAATTTTTAAAAAGCAGCTTGTGTGGGAAAGAAAGCCGGTGAGTCAGTGTTCTAGCTCGGCACTGTCACTGCTGGTACCACAGGTAAATTGTTTATTTGAAAGAATCTCTGTTTCTTCATATGAAGCTAAGAGTTCTGTGATACAGTGGGACATCTTTTCCTTAAGATTTCTAGTGATTTATCTCAGTGGTAGCACTTGCTTAGCATGTGGAAAGCCGTGAATTTGAACTCCAGGAAAAAGAGAAAAAAAATGATTTCAATGCTAAATAATAACCAAAATATTTCCTAATTATTTTTGTTTCCAAATTTTCACAAAGATTGATGTAATCAGTAGGTTGACGCTAAGTAACAACTCTTCTTTCTTGTCTCCAATGCATTCAATCTGCTTGGTATTTATGTAAAATATAAAGCTTACACGATAAAAGACTTTCAAATGTACTGAAGTTAGATTTTAAAAAAGAAAAAGTAAAGGTAATTCAGACTCATGAAAATTTAGCAAAAGGGTAATCATATGGAATTTTTATTTTTACAGTTTGAAGTGATACATTGCTAACTTATAATACCAGAGCAACAACAATAATATTGGGAGGAAAATACTATATTATCCCAATTTTTAGAGTTGATGAGATGACAGTATAGGCACTGAAATATCAAGATGTTCGACCCAGAATTTAGCTTACTTACAAAATAGTTGTACTTAACTAGAGGTAGAAATTAACTTGGAGGTAGAAGACTGCATTACATGAAGTGTTTGACACAAATTTGATTTCTATCTCTGTCACTGATTATGTGACCTTAGAGAGATGACTTTTTAAGGTTTTGGTATACTCGCTGGTAAATCATAATCCTTACATGGCACTACAGATTAGTAACTGGCAAGACCAAGTCAGTACTTCTGAAAACCCCTTGAAAAACATAATGTGTTATTTAAAGTACCATCCTTCCAGTTTTGTGGAAAAATAATCATTACTATTAAGATTCCAAAATATCCTATGAAAAGATTTTTTTGTTTTATTTTTATCAGCAAACAAGTGATAAATTAATGTTTAAGTATATATTTTTAAAAAGTATATTTAAAGATAAATTAGAAATTAAAAATAAATTTCCTGCATTCTATTGTTAAATAGGCTTTTAGGTTTTCAAGCATAATACTAGTTTATCATTTACAAAATACTTATTTGTATTGATTTTCACAAATGTGAAGTAGGCAAGGACATTGTAATCACCATGAAATCTTAATTTTAAAAGTTCAGAAGGTAGTTTTGTCTCAGAACAAGGGTAATAAGTAGTGAAATTAGATTTACTCTTCTGATTTCTGCTGTATGATATCAGCAGATACTAAAATTCCTGAAAGCTTTTAAGATAAATTAATTGGACTTGGGAAGTTACTGAAATAATTAAAATGAACTAAAATAATGTGATGTTTCTCAAATTTTCCCATGCTCTAGGAGCCCTTATATATGAAAAGCTCAGTAATACCTATACCATCCCAGTCTTTCCCCATTACCATTTACACAAGTGCACGGTGTAGTGCTATGAACCTTTCTTGTCTAGGCACACATGAAAGATGAGGACAGTGGCAGAAACTCAATCCATCTGTGCTGTAGATTTGGAAATACCTTTCACCTAATAAAACTCTTGTTTAGAAACAAAGATGATAAAAGGACAAAACAGTTTTTTTGGTGATGGATCTTTAACAATGGCAAGCTTTACTAGTTTCATTTTGTATCATGAACTGGTTGACTTTTCTTAATAACTCAAAATGAATCCTCTTCTTTTCACTATGTTTCTCTCTTACGCTAAGTTAGATTATATACAGACCAATTCAGTGCCCGCCTCCTAGCTTTTAAATATTTGAAAATCATGATTTTTTTTGAATTTTATTTTATTGGGACATTTAAGGTATACAATATAGTGACATTCATCATTGAAAATTTGCATCTTTACATAATCTGTCTTGGTTCTTATTTTTCCCCATTCACCTCCCCTCCCTTCAACCCCTCCATGTCTCCCTATTTACAAAGACTTTGTTTCCATTTTTTCATTTTCTTATAATAATTTCATTCCCTTCTTTCCTTTCCTGTACCCCTCCCACTTTCCCTTCCCCTTTGCCCTTTTTCTTCCTATTTCACATTATATATTAGAACTTTTAGTCCTTATTCACACTTTCAGTTTCTCACACTAGAGAAACTATTTGGCATTTACATATGTGTCTTATTTATTTCACTTAGTATCACCTCAATGTACATCCATTTAGCTATAAATGTCTCTAATTTCTCATTTTTAATGGCTGAGCAGTACTCCATTTTATCCA